TCCATGGATTCTTTCATTGAAAATTAGTTGCAACTTTTTTTTTTTTTTTTTTTTTTGTGTTTACCTATGAATTTTGCTTCAAAATCCAAAGATAATATTCATATAAATTTTCATTAATTGTATAAATTATTTAATTATTTTACTTGTGTTTAAAAATATAAGTTAATTTTGTAACAAACAGAAGAAACTCAAACAGTTTGCAATTACAAATATTATGAATTAGAGCAAAGTTTTACTAATTAAAACCTCATAATCTCATTCCACAACTAAAATTTACCATCATATGTTTCCTAAACAATGCAATTGAAGTACAAAACTTAACCATTTTTCTTTTATAATTTTTCTAGAAACATTTACTGATGGAGATTTTTTAAGATTTTCAACATGCACTTTTGAGTTAAATAATAATAATAATAATAATAATAATAATATCAATAGGAAATTCATGGCCTAGTTCTTTTAGTTAAATTTATATAAATTAAAATTTATAATAATTTAACATATTATTTATAAATTTTTAACTTATAAAATTGTAATATTTTGATTTGTAAACTTTCTAAATTCAAACTAAAGGCAAATATATAAATTTGAAAGTAAACACTCCAAATTTGTTTTTAATTGATTCACTTGTAACTATATGCTTTTACAACCATGTTATGTACTTTTAAATACAATAAATAAATATAAATTATTAAAAAAGTCTAAAAGATAAATTTTAGTGCAATGCCTTAATTTAATTATGAGAATTTAATTGAATGAAATTACTTTTTTCGCTTGTAATTAAATTGAATTAGAAATAAAAAAAATAAATTCTTAAAAAATAATTATAAATTACTAAATTTTTATGATAATATTGCAACATAAAACCAGAAGTCTATAATCGAAACCATGGACTCATGCTTTCAAATAAAACCAATCAATTGCAGCCAAATTCATGACAACTTTTACACAATTTCACAAACCAGAATCCATATCCAGTAATATCAAGTCAACTTGACCCGCTTTATATTTTAAAATTGGGAGAATGTTCATATTTTAAAATTGTAAATATTTATTTGATAAATGAAGAAAAATTAATTTTTTTAATAAAAATAAGGATAAGCTACGTTTAAAAATGGAAAAATTAAAATAAAGAGACCCCTATTCCATTCCATTCTTGTCTAAATTCTATCTCCTTTTTAATTTTTTTGAAGTAAAAATTAATCTCTTTTAATGGTTTGCTTTTCAAAAGAAAATATTTAATGGTTGCATGTTAAATCCATATAATTATTTTACCATAAAAAAACAATTGTTTAATGGTTGCACGTTTTATTTAGGTCTAACCACTTGTCAAAGGGATGAGGGAGGAGCGTGTTTAACGGCTGCCGCATTGATAGATATAGATAGATCGATAAAGATAGTGATCAGAGTGAGAGAAAATTCTATGGCGTTGGTGGCCAACATGGTGAGCGCTAGATTCTCGTATGGTGGATTGGGCTTGAAGTCCGACAACATTGTCGAGACTCCACCACTGACGAGAAGGTGCTCGATGGGGGTGGTGAGAGTAGAGGCTGTGAATCTGGAGATCAAGAAGATCGAGGACAAAGTGGTTGACATTGTCGTCGTTGCTAAGCTATCCAAGCCAACCACTGCTTACTGCATGTTCGCTTTTTATTTCTAGTTCGTTTTCCCCCAATTCTCGTTACTCGTATCCCTTTGAACGGAAGCATTTCACCCTGTTTATCTTCCAATTATCTGCAATATTGATTTTGTTTGCTCTGGCTATTTGACATTGGGTTTTGTAGAGGGATGAACCTGGATATTACTTTTGGACCACCAACAAGGCGGGGGGGGGGGTAGTTTTGCATAATCCAAAATTTTCAAGAGGTTATTGCTTAATTCTATGAAATTTGGAGGAGCCTGCTCCTAAAATTAATTTAGAGAGGAAATAACAAAATTTGAGGGTAAATTATTATTCACACTCCCCACATTAGTCCTATTTCATTTTGGTGCCCCCACCCAAAACCCTAGTGAAGATCAATGCGAAGAAACTTCTGGAAAAATCACTACAAGGTTCATGGTTACTCTAGTATGTGACATGTCTTATTGTTTTCCGTATGGCCTAAGTTTTGATTTATGATTTTCACTTCAATTTTCAATTTGAAATCCTAATAATAAAAAACAACTATATCCATATGCAATTAAATATATAATTGGGTATTATGAATAAATTCACAATACCCTATTATATTAATATAATCAAAAACTGATTTAATTTACTTTCAAATAATACAAAATAAATAAATTTGAACTCTCTCTCTTGACGAGGAGCTAGAAGCCCATGCCCACAAAGCCTCGAAATTTTAAAAGAAGGAAATAAATTCCTAAATAGCATGACAAAATGAAAATTGGAAATACACCCTTACTGGAGTGACTTATACAACTTACTGGAGTGTAAGTTTTCTGTCTTTGCCATTCATTTGAGCCCTAGAATTCCTCTTCTCTTCTCCCATTACTGCCTTCTCCCTTGCCATTCTTTCAATCTGAGCCATAGCCCTTTTATCTGATCCCTAGAAGTTTTTTATATTACAGATACCATACTTCTGCAATTCTTCTATAGCTGACCTCCAGTCACAAACTCCATTGGTTGGTAACCACCCACGCTGGTATGCCCTCTCTCTTCCTCCTTCTATTGCTTTTGCAATTTCTATTGTTTGCTACGTGTTTTTGAAAATTGATTTGGGTCATCAAAGTCATTTGTTGTGCAAGATGCTTTGTTTTGTTTATTGCGAGATGCAATGTTGTGGAATGCTATGTTTTGGTTAACTGCGAGATGCTTTGTGTTTTTTAATGCAAATTAATTTGTATTTTTTGTTCTTTGACTTTATTGAAAGAATCTGCTCCCCACGTGATGAGAAGATCCCATGTGTTGGTTCAATGGCTACATTACAAAAATCTACTTATCATGTGATGTCCCTGTGTGTTTGTACATTGGTTTCATTAAAAAAATCTGCTCATAAGTGATGAGGACCCCGTTATGACCATACCGTTAATTAAGGCCGAACCAGTAAAAAGCTAAAAGGAAAAACAATGCAAAAGCTTGTTTAATACTCTAAATTAAGTAGCAAGTGAATAAGGAGAGCAAATATTGGGTTTGGAACTTGATGGGATTGTTTGATAAGAGAGATTTAAAAATATAGATTAGTCTAGAAATTAGTACTACATGTGTTATTCCAATCTGTTGGGTTATAGACGTTAAAATTGGTATTTTATTTGCATAGTGGTGCAGATTGTGATGAGTCAAAAATTCAAGACCTGGGGTTCTAGAATCATTATCTTTGGAGTCTTTATTTTATTTGAAATTCTATTTTTAATATTTTATTGAATATAGATTTATATAATATCATATTTAGAACATGATTATGTTAAGAATTATCTTTTAATATTTTGTGATTTGTTTTTGGAATTTGAGATTTTATTATAGTTTTATGCATGGGCATCTTTTAAATTGATTCCCATAGGTTTCAGAACCTTAGCAGCAATTCCAGTTTGTTCACCTATAAGTCCCAACAACATCTACTCTATCTCAATAAAATTGTAAATTACACACCATAGTCACTGTTATTTTAGTTTTCCCATACCACTTGCATTGTCCATGTCTTTCCATTAGCAACCGAAGACAGTAAATTAATACATTTTTCTAACTCAATAATGTATGCAACCTTTTTGTCTTCTGTCATGGGTTGTACCTGTAAGCAACTCATTTCAAGTCAAGTTGATGGAGATGATCAAGATAGTCGAATTTGGATAGAGACTGATGGAGATGGGTGAGTGATACATGAATTTACATATAATATATTTTTTTATATTAAAATGAAGCAAATATTATTGATTTTATTTATTACAAATATATTTAATGAGGAGCACGACAAAATGACAATTGAGGGCATTGCTTCTTGCATTACAAGCAAGCTTAGGAGGCGAAACCATCATGGAAACAATATTTTAAAGTTACTCGAGATTTTTGATTTGAAGAATTTAAGGTAATCATATATTTACATATGATATATATGATTTTTTTTTTATGTTTGATAAATGTGCATATGATGTATTGATTGATATTTTAATTGTGACATTTCTAACTTATTTGTCATGTATTTATCACTATTAATAAAAATAATTATAGTAAAAATTCAGGTGGTTACCTTGCCATAATCACATGATTCGACAAAATTTTGAAAAAAGGGTAACATCTAAAATGAGTTAACTCTTTTAAGATCTTTGAAAGAACTTGGATAACAAGTCAAATTAGATAGGAGATACTATGTGGAAAGATTTGAAGAATTATTGATAGTCTCCTGAATTTAAAAATAAGTCGATACAAAATAAGAAGAATCGAGATTCTTATTTAGGTGCCTCTCTCCACATCACATAAAGAATTATTCATGAGCTGATTACTTGTGAATTTTTTTAACATAAAAAAATTCGTAAAAAATTGTATTTTCTGGAGATTTTGGACGAAAATCTGAAAAAAAAAAGTCGCATGAAATGAATATTTTTCTTATAGTGAATTACTGCGAGTGGTTGTATAGTTTGTTGGCTAACGAGAACGTTGTCCTAATTATAACATGCCCACAATGTAGTGGCGTACTTATTTTCAGCGTATCGAGTATTCCCAAGACAAGGAAAATGGGTATTAACCAGAAAGGAAATTATCTTCTTGCCTTACTCATTAATTTCTTATAAAAAAATTTTAAAGAAAAAGCTTTTAAAAATTCTAATTTTTTTGATAAAAATAAAATAAAACCTATAGTTTTAGAGTCTTAATGGACTGTCACTCCTTGTACGCAAGGGTTTGTCTTTTCAGACGTTGGACAAGTGCAGCAGATACTCAGTGAAGGACAGAGTGGCCTTGTTAAAAGGGCGTGCTGCCTTTGGGAGTCCACCAGGTTTTAGAGCACCATCAGCCACTTTAAACAGAGACTTGAGAGAGAGAGAGAGAGAGAGAGAGAGAGAGCCAGATGGCTGTGTTGGAGAGCAGAGAATGGTATATGGCTGCCTATGCACCCGAGGGCGTTCCACTGTCCGATCATCTCAAACTACGGACGATAAATCTACCGCTCAACTCTGATTCAATCCCTGACCAACACGTGGCAGTTGAAGTCCTGTGGATATCCGTCGATCCCTACATACGGTCCAGAATGACTGGCCACGACGGGGGCCTGTACTTTCCCCAGTTTGGCCTCGGCGAGGTCCGCAGATAAGAACTCCATCTCAAAGTCCCTTTCTATCCCGGAAACTAATACGAAACTCTAAATGCAGGTCATTACAGAGTTCGCGATCGGAAGAGTAGTTCTTTCCAAGGACGGAAACTTCAGCGAGGGGGATATAGTGATCAACCCTTTCTCTCCAGTTGCAGAATACAGTGTGGTACCAACTGCGGTCCTCCGGAAGGTTGACCCAACGGCTGGAATCGAGCTGCCGGATTATCTCAGTGCTCTCGGTATGGTTCGATTCTGTCGTGAAGTTCCCGATCATTATACGGTTAAATCAATATCATTTATATGTAACATATCAGCTGTATAACGTGGGGCTGCTTGGTTAATTTTAATTTCTGTGGTCGGTAAATCTGCTTATTAAATAGGATTGCCTGGGTTTACGGCATGGCTGGGAATAGACGTGATCGGAGAAGCCAAGCCGGGATCGAATGTATTCATTTCGGCGGCGGCCGGCGGCGTTGGAATGTTCGCCGGGCAGTTGGCGAAGCTCAAAGGCTGTCGAGTCGTCGGAAGCGCTGGATCGGACGATAAGGTAATTTCCTGAAGATCTTTTTCTTAGATGATTCTTTGTGCCGAAAAAGAAAGAGCTTGCAAAATGATTATTATTATTATTATTATTTAAACTACCTCTTGACCTTATTTCTAATTTTTTTGTTTCATAAAAAATAAAATTTAAAATTTTACCTAAATATAAATTACAAACTTTAAAATAACTTTATATGTTATAATCTCCTAGTTTCAATAATTTAATGACAAGAGATTTGATTTTCCAATTAGTTTTATTTTAAACATTTTTAGGATAAAATTTTCTGTTTGTAACAAAAAAAAGTTCATGGAATAAATTTTAAAGATTTAGTTTGGATAATTAGAATAATTTCTAAGTTTGCACTTTTAAATTTTATAATTTTGAAATTCTAAAAATATGAAATATTTTTTAAATTTTAAAAATTTAAAGTAAAGTTGTTAATCCAAACCAAATTAAGAAATAATTTGCATGTGCATTTGTCTGGAAGAGGTAGTGTCACGGTGCGGAAATTGGATTCATGACCGACTCTAAGATTAAAATAAATCTCAACCCCGCAAATTTAACAAAAAATTTAAAATTAATTAAATCAAAATCTAACATAAAAACAAAATAAAATTTAATTCAAATAATAACCAAATTGTCAATATATTAGTAGAAAACTTAACTGTAGTCAAATAGAGTTAATTAAGAACTCAAGAATACAAAATTTGACAGAAATCAAAATGAACACCTTCTTCGATCCAAAAGTGAAAGACAACAGAAATAACGAATTTCTCTCAAACAGTCGAATCCATTGAACTAATGAACTCTAAATTTGGAAAAATATAAAGGTTAGTTTAAAGATCCAATGAATAATAATAATATGCATTTATAAAAATAAATGACATGTATATAGATATAACAGATAACTTATAAAAAATAGAATTTAATAAACATTTATAATTTAGGGATTTCGAAATCCAAAACGTAACAGAAATCAAAAATCAGAATGGCTACACTTAGTCTACTAGAAATCAAAACGGTGACATCTTAGTTTGCCGATGTGTAGATATACAAGTCAAGTATCTAGTTTAATGCCTAATGTAGTAGGCTGCAATGTTCTAAAAGGTGAAACTCCTCCAAAATAGTTTTTCATAAACAAACAAAACAATTTAACAAAAATTTTCAAATATAATTAAACAAAATAGAATATAAATATTAGATAATTTTTTGAAAAAATTTTAAAAAATTACATACATATCCCTTGTTAAGCATTCATAACAAATTTTATTCAATTTTTTAGAAATTATGTATATCAGGTAAGAATCTAAAGTTATAATAGATATAGAAAACAGTAAATGTTCATAAATATACATTATTACTCACAAAACCGACAGTGATCAAGAAATCTGATCTTCAGTGACATGAGCTCAACGAGGACTGTACAGAGAATCTAAAATTATAAAAATAAAATATTCTATTTAAGGTTTCTAATGCGCCCAAGAATTGAATAATTAAAATTTTCTAATTAAAAATCCGAGTAAAATTCTAGATTTTTGTGCCCAAACCCATATCAAGGCCACTAAAATCCCGTAACGATCAAATAAGTCATGAACCGGTCTTTAGAAACATAAAACTAGTTTGATAAATCTCAGAATTACCCATTAAAGTACTGAACCAATCATAAATTGGTCACTAGAAGGTTGAATCGGCTATGAACCGGCCATTAGATCACTGAACCAGCTATAAACTAGCATCTAATGCACTGAACCGACCCTGAACCAGACTAGAAAATACTAAATTGACCTTATAACTCACTGAACCAGCTATCTATATACTAAACTAGCCTTATTTATACATAGAACTGAATTGAAGTCCCTTGAATCAAACTTAAAATACATTGAACCATTAATCAAAACCCCAATCCGGCGATCTAAGGCTTAAACCAACTATATTAACCCTAAACCAGTATAAAACCAGTTTATTTAAGTGTGAAACTAACCTATTTTGCCTTGAACAGGAAGTGAACTGGTGGTAAATCTGTTAAACTGACTGGTTTTCTATTTATTTCTTTATTTATCTATTTTCCTAACCTAGATCCATGATCCAGATCCACTTCTAAAGCCCAACCCGACATTTGACCTGGTCCAGGCCAGTGTAACTGACCCTAACTACTCATGGCTGGCCCAATGGCCCATGGCCCAAAACAAAACCAAAGCCTAGTCCCCAAATCCAGTCTTGAATGATAGACCCGAACTTTAATATGGTCTGTCTTTCTTACCCTTTTTCCCAGTGAGGAATCTGGAAGGAAGGATTGAAAATTACCTGGAATTTCTTCCTGATTCTTGAAATTCATCTTTGCAATGGTGATCGGAATAGCTAACCGATGGCAGCCTGGTGGTTAATTGGCTGGAAGAAGGCTAAACTGGACTTAATTCGTATATCACGATCGTGAGGGTTCGAGTTAGATTGGTTTAAATTCAACGATTTGGTGGTGCAATCCTTCAAATTGATTGAGGGTTACTGTACTTAAACTTCCATCAGCCCTTATTATGGCAATAATCGAGCCAATCCTATTCCAATTTGCTCGAAAGTAATCTCCATAATTGTGCAAGATCCAAATGTGGAGGATGGATATCTAGTTTTTCTGATATCTTTGATTTAGTCTCTCAGTTCCAGATTTCGTGAAATCAAGTCCTCAACATTTCTAGTTAACATAACTCTGACCTCAATAAATTTTAATTAATTCAATTAAATCCCTTATTATTTTAATTAGATCCTCAAACATTCTGTCTCTTTTAATCAAGTACTTTTTAATTTTTAATTTTCAAATTTATCCCATGTTTTTAGGATATTGCAGGCAGTGACTGTGGGTTAGAAGTAGGTAAACGTTGACAAAGTATCATGCTTGTTGCAGCGAGTTAGAGGGTAAATCAATTAAATTAAGAGAACGTTCCAGTGGCCATTATATTTTCAAGCTTTTAAATCCGTGTTTACCTCATCCAATAATATTAGCCACGTGGACTAAACAGCACTAACATAAAATATAGTTTGTAAAATTTTCAGTTTAAGTGTGTAATTTCAAATAAACTCCTCCTAAAGACTTTAAGTATAAAATATTTACATATCATGTACCTCTCTCGTAATATCTGTGAAAAAATATCTCTAGTGACAAGTCCTATTTACCTGTCTTCCCCAACCCCGGGCTCTGTTTATGGCAAGGGTGGAGCACTAACTGGTTGTTGAGGAAGAGGTTGTCAACGCGGGAGTTGGCTAAGCCCGAGCCGAGCTATAAAACTTGTCATGACCAAGGTTGGGGAAGACGGGGAAGGAGAATTTGTCACTGGATATACTGTTTCGCTGGCAATATTTTACATAAATATTGTGAGGGAGGTACCTATTTTGCGAATATTTTACACTTAAATTCTTATTACTGGAGTTAATTTTAAATTATACTTAATTTTAAAGATTTACAGGCTATATTTCGTATAATTGCGGTCTTGTTTAAGTGACCATCAACTATGGGTACGCGCAATCTAAGTTTTAAAATCCTAAATATACTCGGGATTTCCTAAACTTGTCCATTAAATAATAATGTATTTGTTTACTTTGGACTAAATAATCCAAAGAAAATGAATTGAACTTTATATATTTACAAAATTTATATATTTCATCTTCCTACATAAAAAAAAGTTGTGTTCTACGTGTCAATTTTTTTAAAATTTCTATTTTGCGAAAATTTAAAGGCAACCAAAAAAAGTTTACCCTCTTGGGCTTCATTTGACTCGGTGAAATAAAGTCGTGGAGAGTTGGATTTGGTTCGATTTATTTATTTATTTTTAATAAAAAAGTAACAAAAGAGTAAATAAAATAGAATTGAGTAAATTAGATAAGAGCATAAGCACAAGAAGAGTGGAAAAGAGATTACAAACTTATTTGGGACCTAATTTAGAAATAGGGATTCCAAGCCTTTATACACACACACACACACACACATATATATATTCAGTTTTAATTACTTTTTGACTTTTGAACTAAAAATTGAGCAAAGTTTTTTAGTTCTTTTTTAATTAAATTGAAATCAAACCAAGTTCTATGTGATGCGGTTGCAACCCTAGTCAGATGGATGTAGCATGAAGAAAAAGATGATTCGAAATATATAATATATAATAAATTATTTTTCTAATATGCCAATCTAAATAATAAAATAATCTGAATATCTTCTTCATCATTTTATATATCCATAAATGGGAAATGGTATAGTTGGTGCAAGTTCAAATAAGGAACAGCTCTTTCATTAAAGACCTTATTGTCATTTTTCCATATAAATCTTCATTAAATAATTATATATTTGAATGGGTAAGATGTCGTCATGCCACCGACAAAAAGAAAATAGAATTTGAGTGGGAAGATGTAATATCATGCCCCCACAGAAAGAAGAAGGTGATAGTTATGATAATAAATATTTTGACGAAGATTTGCATTGCATATCTGCTTTGATCTGGTTTTCAATTTTTGAAATTCATCTAAATATTGATTAATTTTTTCCCATTTAAATTATTCATAGTTGTCATTTATAATTAAAATGACATTTATATTATTTAAAAAATAGAAATTTTGATAAATATTTTATTAAAAGTTTGATTGAAGGATTTGGTGTTATAAATTTAATATTAGCAGAAGAAAAATATATTTTTTATGTGTTTATAAGAGATATATTATTAAAATTTATTATTTTTTAAGGGAAAAATAAGTTCTATTTGTCCTTATTATTTAATTATTGTTATACCGCTACTGAGCTTGTATTTTCATTTGTCCTTGCTGAAATATATTCTAGGTGGAGCTTTTAAAGGAGGAATTTGGATATGACGAGGCATTCAACTACCACAAGGAGACAGATTTTGATGCTGCTTTAACAAAGTAATATATTTTATATTTATATTTTTTAAAATATAACATGGGTTATTGTTTTTGTTTTGAAAAATCTGGAAATGAAAAGATGTGGTTGAATAGAGTCATCACTCTAAATCTACACATATATAGCTAGCTCCATCCGAAGTAGTGGCCACAATGACAAATTCTCGGAATTTGAAATTAAATTAGTGTTGATTGTTTGAAAGTTATGGAGAAAATTACTGAAAATAATTTGAGAAATTTCATACGAATATAAACAGTGTCCTTAAACTATAACATAAAAATTTGGCATTAGAACTAGTTTCTATTTAAGATATTATTTTTAATCAATTAATTCTTATTATTTTCTATTCAGCTTCATCATTGTGGTACATGTGAATGATGAATAAAACTTAATAATTGTTTCAGGTACTGCCCTAACGGCATAGATATTTACTTTGACAATGTTGGTGGGAAGATGCTAGAGGCCGTCCTCAACCACGTCAACCAATATGCTCGTATTCCTCTTTGTGGTATGATTTCTGTTTATAACACGGTATGGAAATCATTATTTCACCATAATTATAAACATTATTATTATTATTATTTTTGGGTCATTATTTTTATTGACACAATAAGAAATATAAAATATTTAAATATGGAAAAATGTCGCTATGAAACTGGATCTTGATGGTATTACATAATTAAAGATGTAAATATTGATTGCTGTGCAGGTTTGGACAGAGAGAAAAGGGGCGAGGAACCTACTAAACATGGTGGGTAAAGAAGTGACGATGAAAGGGTTTTTGGTGGGTTCATACTTGAACCGGTTTGGGGACTTTGTGAAGGAGATGGAAGGATACTTAAAAGAGGGAAAGGTTAACTCCAAGCGCAAGGTTTATAATGGGATAGAGAGCTTCCAGGAGTGCTTTGCCTCCATCTTCACCAGCTCCAACATTGGAAAAGTTGTCATTCAAGTTAAGCCATAGTTTCTATTTCAGTCTTTTTAGGATAATCAAGGGGCTTCTATGTCTTTTTGTCTGCCTTTTTTTTTTTTAATATTTGGCTTAATTTCTGAATGCTCTTTCCTTAATGTGATAATGAATACATCTAAGTATGTTTTTGTATCGGGCAGAGCCTCTTTTCTCTTTCAAAAACCATCTTTCATGTGTAGATGTGTACCTGTAAGGTTTGTGCTCTTGATCTAATTGGGGGTTAAGTTGATTTAATCTTTCCACAAAACCCAGATGACCGGAAACAAAGCAATATGGCAAGAAGCTGAAATAACGTCCCCGAGAACGAACTATCCTGATTGATTCAGAATATTTGGATAACGTATATCACCTACTTTCAGATGATCTCACTTGAAACGCCCTACCCAAAAAGCATAACCCTGAACACTCGCTACATCGCTGCGAGTCTTCAACAGCCCACCACTTAGAGCAATATAATTCAGATGACAGAAGATGAACTGGAACTACATAGTCTCACAATTCCAGGTATTGCCAATTGGCCACTTTTCCCATATTTGAAGGTATCACGTTTCCGAAGCAACGCCATCGAGGAACAGCCTTTACAGAACATACGCGATCGAAAACATAGGTTCCCGGTCAAAAACTGTACAACAAAAGACCGAATTGACTTCTCGATGCTCACAGATCAGAAGCAGGGTGGATTGCATCTTAGTGTCACTCCCACCGGTTGACCACTCGAACTAGAGAAAGGTAAGAGGCGGTAGTAATTCAAATTAAAAGAAACAATTTCGAACAGAACCTAAAGTGCGCCTAATTTTACAGCAGATAAGTGAATGATGGAAGTAATATATTAGTGATGGTTTTGCATGCCCAATAAGTTAATCTTTTGGGAGAAGATTATGGTCCCATGATATTAATCTGCAAGCTAATCATTTGCTCGATCACCAAAGGGGTCGATGAACCGCTGCTCCATCATCAGGCACCTCCAAGACGCCAAGATAGGACAAGCGGAACCTAAGGCAAACAACGCAAACAGCAGCGAAGCGACGAGGAAAATGGCTGAAATTTCAGAACTAAAACGTAACAGAGGCCCAAAACTCTGGTTAAGAGATTGAGAATGAGGGCTTGAGGCTGATACAAGCTCCCTCGATTCAAAGGCATGAGCACAGGTTGGTCTGCTCATGCGCGTTTACATTTTACACACATTTTGTGCATACATAGACAGAGAAAGATAGTGAGGAGGAAGTGAGTGTTTTAAGTTATGTTCTGATCTGACTTTGAGAAAGGACTTAACGTTACACAAAAGATGGGCAATTAAATTTTAATAGCAGAATTTTATAAAAATGCAATGGAAAAGAATTGCTAAATTGCTCTCCATGTTAGAAACCTAAAAATTGTAACTAGGGATAGAAGAGACATAGGGAGAGAAACAAATATTTATGTAGTTCAGTATAAAGAGATTTAACTCTTTCCGTTACACAGTCTCTCTTTCAAAAAAAAAATATATATATATATATATCTTAAAATATTTCTTGACACTCCAAGCATTTATATATCGTTGATCCAATTAATGCAACATTAAGTAATATATAAAGTACATAATCCATACAATAACCTTAATTTTGGTTTATGTTTATATTCTGTTAATTACAGTCCTAATTTCCTAATTAAGGAGAGAATATAATGCTCCGAATATCTTATTTGGGAAAACACATCAATTTACTAACAATGGAGAAAGACAGAAGCAAATAATAATAATAATAATAATAATAATGATGATGATGAAGTAAATTGCTCAACAAATCCAAAATTGGAGATCTGCTTTTGACATCAGCATCAATTCGTCTTCTTTCCATCTGTCCAATTTAACAGGAAAATCATTTTATTTCACTCAACAAGTCCAGAATTAAATAAAATTTACAAAATCATATTGTGCTTTCTACCAGTCCACCAGACAAGAAATTGTGAAGCATATGGATGGAAATAAAAGAATAAAATAGGGAGAGAAAAAGTTTGGGTTTTATTCTTGTGATATAGTGGATGACATCATAAACACGTATACATGCACGCACGCGAAATACACCTGTGTTTATAATTTGGGAGCTAGAAAGTAACAAAATATATAGCATAAAAATATTGTTAAAATTTTTATAAAGAAAATGAAAAACTATATCACGAGAATTTTCAAGTGAAATTTGTTTAATGACTTAATATTAATTATCTTAAAATTAAGTTCTGTCTCTTCCATTACGTTTTCAACATTAATTATTTTTGGAGAATAAAACGATCATTGTACACGGCGCTTTGCAAAGAAGATTTACGCACGTGAGAAATTGAACATTAGCTTTTAATGTTTTTCTTTTTTTTCCCTTAATTTGGTAAGCTGTTGGTAAATTTGGATGTATATATTATATAGGTTTTGGGTAGATTGAATACTACAATACCTGTTCTTGTTCCTGTTTTGAAAAAAATACTCATAAAAAATTTTAAATTTATCTCTATCCTTATTTTACAGTATTTATACCTGAACCTAATTGGATAAATTTTACTGAGTATAAGTTAGGTGTAAATAAAATTATCATCTTGAATTTGATAAAATGTGACGAGGCAGAGTTTGATTCTAATTTTTGTGCTGATTTAATGGTGGTTAATGTTATTGGTTCAGTGACTTCGCCCTAACATCAAACAGATTGTTTATTTATATTTCGTGCACGTTTGAATATTTTTTAAAATTTACTTTTTTCAAAAATATATAATAATAAAAAGTATGATTATAAAGGTTAAACAAATGCAAAATTATGGATCAATATCACTCGAGTTCAAAAAGAAAAACTTTGAGAATTTTTTTTTTTAAATAAAAGGATCATTTTCATTGATTGTTGACCCAAAGAGTACATAATTACCCCGCCTAGGTGATAGGCATCATCCAAGGAACTCGAAACAGATTATTGATTACAAGCATAACAAAAGCTTACTGATCTTTTTTTCCAAGATCTTATTTTAAACAACGCAACTCTACAGGAATGAACGTGTATGCTACGATAGAGTTGAGAGTAAGCAGTTTCCATCAATAAAACTCCTGTCTTTATTAGTTCAAAATATTAAGTAGAAATTGGATATATTTTATCCTTAGTGCAATTTAGGGCTATTAATAAATAAGATTTTAATCTAAATTTAATATTAACTTGATTTGAATTCTAGGATTTAAATCAAATAAAAATATTTAATAAATCAAATCTAATTACAAAAATTTGTAATCCAAAATAAGTTGATCAAATGTACAATTAAGTAATCTGATTTGTTAAGAATCAAAATCTAAATTTTAATAATATTTTTATTAAATTAAAATTATATATAATATTAAAAATTCAAAATTACGGGATTAGATTAAGAAAATTAGAAAATTTAGGAACTAATATGATTAAAAAAACATAATTAAGAGATTTAAGTATAAAAGAGTTTTTTTTCATGTCGAATCAAAATTTTTTTATTAAATTTCAGATTATTTATTAAGTTTAGATATAATTTAACAAATATAAATATTATAAAATTTTAAATCAAATTTAAATATAAAAATAATTAATCAAATTCAATTTAATTAATTTGATCCAAATTCAAACCCAACACACCTCGTGCAACCCATTACTCTCATAATCACTGCCTTGCCTCTGTTTCAGCTCTTACTTCACAAGAACCAACACATTCCTCTTCAAAATTTATTTTCTGCACAGAAGCCTCTAATATTAACTCCTAGCAGGCCTCAACTTTTGATGTTGCTACAGATGGCTGCCAAATCACTAAGTACTATACAATGAGAACATGGATTGCTATCTCGACCCTTGCACCAACACATCAGCGATCCAGGACCCAAAATCCCTCCACTGAATTGAGCAATCATCTACAAGGTCAACATAGAATTAAGAATTTTAGGATAGTTTAAATTTGTAAGACTTCATAATCGCACAACCCAAATTCTAATTTTCTAAATCTCTTTTTCGGGGAAAATATTAAAAATGGAATCAAAGTAAAAAATTAGTAGAGAATGATTCAGAATTTAAAAGTGTGACGAAGATTAGATATTATAGTTTCAATCTTGAGAAGGTAATGGGACAATTAAGATCTCCAACATAGAAAAATGATTATTAAGGGAGTCAATTACATTAACAAATATATGCATTTAATTTGCCTTTTCTATTAGTTTAACTGATAATTTTATTATTTAATCGGTTCATTATTAATTGGATTGATGGGTTTTAATTTTTTATTTTTATTAGAACACATAAGTTTAATTCAATTAGATTTCATAATTTATATATTTAAAGCACCCAACCCAAAAGTAAAAATTGCTTCTTTATCGTAATTCAAATATGTTCTAACACGATTACTTCTTTCCAAGTGGAGATGATAGTACATAAAGTCACTAATTGTATTTGGATGGAGTCAGGCACGATAAATTTTAAAATAAATAATTCATTTTTTAGTACAAAATAATGAGATATTAAAATATTTATAAATTAAATATTTAAAACAAACCCTCTTTAATATAGGATGCTAAATAGTTGAATAAAATAGTAAATAAAATAATATTTTATCATAGGAGTATTAAATAATATAATAAATTAGTAAATAAAAATTAAATATCATATTATAATATACTAGATCTTAGTATAAAAATGGAATATACGTGAAATTTACATGTGTGTGTTAAATCAAATACTTAATAGAAACCCTTTTTAATATAACATGCTAAATACTTGAATTAGACAATAAATTAATAAAATGACATTTACTATAGGAGTATTAAATAATATAATAAATTAATATACACATGCATATACACACTCAATGTCACGACCAGTAAAATGGATCTGTGATTAGTGCTAAGGTCAGAATAAATTCTAATCTCACAAGCCTAATATATAATTTAAAATTTAACTAAACAAAAAACTCATATAAAATCGGAAACAAAATCAAATTCAAAACTTAGTAAATTTATTAATATATCCATAGAAATTCTGTTTGTAGTCAAATGAAGCTATTTAAGAAATTTCAGAAATACAAAATATGATAAAAACTGAAATAACTAACATTTTCTAATAAGAACGAAAGTAGTAGAAATAAAGACTTATCTTAAGCAGTGGGATTTGACTGAATATTGAACTCAGAATTTGAAAAATAGAAAGGGATGCGTCGACAAACCCAGTGAATAATAACATATATTTACGAGAATAAGATACACGTATAACATATATAACAGAAAACTTTACAGTATAACAAATCATTTACATTTATCAAAAATTTTAGAGAGCTCGTAATCTATAATAGAACTTATATCAAAAGGC